GATTGTCCAGCTCTCAAAGCATTTTATAAATCATTGGTAATAGAAGAAAAATGTTTAGAGACTCAAAGACCCTTGTATCCTCTGCTAGACTTGTTTTACTAGAATCTTCTCAACTTCTTCTTAAGGCAGTGGAATATTCTGTATATTTGTAAGTAAACACTGGAGAATAGAAAATCATGAATTCATACTGAGACCTAGATTTGAAACGGTATTTTCTCTTCCTCAATTTTAATCATTAAAAATTTACAAGTTACACTGTTTTGCAGAAGTAAACTGAGTAGAAAGTGTCGGTTCCCCTTCTCCCACTCTATTCCCACCCAGTTTTTCTCTGGAGAGAACCACAGCTGATAGTTTGGGTTTGGCTGAGCATACCCGCGTATGTATATGTGTTTATGTATATGGAGATGTAAAGAAAAGGTCTGTTTATCTATGTTAGCGGATTGTGAGACCCCTAACTTAGGAGGTCCACCAAAGTGTGGGTCCTTGCGTGCCGGCTGCAAAGAATTCATAGCTGAGGCAGAGGGACAGAGCAAAAACTGCTTTTATTTCTCAAAAGAGGTAAAGGAAGGAAAATGCTGGAGGAAGGAGAAGGAAAGAAAAGCGCTGGGGGGAAAGAAAGCACTCTAGCAGGGAGCCAGCAGCCCAAATGGCAGTGGAGACGGCTCTGGCCTGGGTCCGGCCCCGTGCATTTTTATGAGACGCTTCTTTCACTTAGCACCATGCTTTCAAGGTTCGTCCATGCTGTAGGATGGATCAGTGCTTCATTGCTCTTTGGATGGATGAATGTACTGAATTTGTTTATCCCTGTGTCAGCTGATGGACATTTGGGTCTTTGCCCTTTCGGGCTACTACAAACAAATAATGCTGCAAGAATATTCATGCACAAGTTTTTGTTTGAGCATAGATTGTTAATTCTTTTAGAGAGAGAACAAAGCGTGGAATTGTTGTATCAGCCAGTAATTAACATGTTAACTTTGGAGAAACAAACTGTTTTTCATAGCGGCTGCACGTTTTACATTTCCACCAGCCAATATATGTTCTGATCTTTCCACATTCTCACTAACAACAACAGTTATTATTTTTTGTGTGTTTATGGTCATCCTTAGTAGGTATAAGTGATATCTCATTGTGGCTTTGATTTGCATGTCCCTAAGGACTTAAGGACTTCGAGCTTTTCATATGCTTTTTAGCCATTTGTAAATCTTCCTTGAAGAAATGTCTTTTTGAGTCTTTTGGTCACTCTTAAGTTAGGTTGTCTTTTGTTATGAGTAGTAAGAGTCTTTTATATATTCCGGATACTAGACTCACTGGATAAAATAGTTGCTAATATATTTTTTTTCCTGTTTTGTGAATTTGAAACTGAGTCCCCTTGAAAGTTCTCCTGCCGAGTTTATGATTAACCTCTCTGTCCAAAGCTTATTCCCTTTCTGTCCCACCCTCGTTCCTCTCAGGATTGAGGAATATCAAAGAAAAGGGGGAACTGAAAGGAGCCCTCCTGGGTACAAAAGCTCCTCTGGGACCCCTGTTTCTTGTTTGTAGAAAAAGGCAGTAGTTTGCTAGGCTTTTCCTGACTTTCAAAAAGCAGACTGAAGCAGGTACTAATTAGGGAAGTTCTTAGATTTAGATATTTGATACACTGAGTTAATTTTTGCATGTGGCATGTGGCATGTGGTAGAGGTCCATGTTCAGTCTTTTGCATATGAATTTCTAGTTGTCCCAGCACCTTTTGTTGAAAAGAGTTCTTTCTCCCACTGAATATTCCTGGCACCTTGTCAGAAGTCGGTTGAACACAGATGCACAGGACTCTGAAGTCCATTCCATCATACTGACTTTGTAATTTTAACTTTTAAAAAATCACTTTTGGAATTATTTTCATTTGGCATTTAATCTCCAAGATTTCTGAAGTTATCATTTATTCAGTTGATGGAAGTAAGACAGAATCAAATTTGCAGTGGGAAAAATTAACAAAATCAGGAGAATGGTTTCATAGCAATGTTGTTACATTAGACTATGTTACAATGATATATTTTGCTAGTAGAATCATTTCTAAAGGTATACATTTACAAGAAATTAGGAATCCATTTCAATATATCAGAAAAATTATGATAATAACATTAGACACTACATAGCATAACATACAATAAGAATGAATACATGAATAAGGATTTTACATTTAACTCTTTCACAAACTAGGTACAGTAAAGGTAAGACGGTACAGTTATGCATTCAGCTTGCCCTGTGGCTCTGTTTCTCTTCGTTGCAAGGGTTGTTAAGTAATCACCGCACAGTGATCAGGTTTTTCTGAGTAGTTTTCGCACAGTCAAGGAGTGTTGTTACGGACACGGGCATGATCTTGACATGTGGGCTCACTCCGTTTTACTGGATACAATACTATTTTCTTGCAGTGCTCTGTCATCCTTCCCTCCCAATTACTTTCTTTTGTCACTGTCTCTTATACAGTCAGCATTTCTCTGAGAGAAGCGACATATACATGCAAAAGGGGGAAAACCTTGACCCGGTTGGCATCGCTGAGGTTCAAAGACCCACCAGAGAGAACAGATTTTCCTTTTCGCAACATTTAAGCACCTGCCTTCCAAGCATTCTCTAGTTACATGGGAAATGTGTGGTTTCAAAGCTGTGACTTTAAAAGGATCTGTTTGCAGATTTGTTACTTGGGGCATCAATTCACTTTTAGAGTGTCTTCTTCACAGCCCTCAGATTCATTTTAAGATCCTTTATTATACAAGAACCTGTGACCCTGTGTATTCCACACCAAGAAAAAAAATCCTCTTTTACAAACATAAAAACATGCTTCAGACAATGAGTACATACAGCATGTGCTTGGATATTAATGCTTTGAAGAGATGGTTTGGCAGGTACAATCACACAGATTATCTCATTAGGAAGTTCTATAGATCACAGCCTGACAGATGTTTGTTCACTTAAAAAGTGAACCCCGAAGGAAAAGAGTAGAAAAATTTATCATTAACACCACTGAAAACTCAGAAAAAATAAAATATTAAAGGATACTGATTATAAAACATTTGATCCTCTCACCATACTTTTAAGCATTTATCTTCTGCTTTCTTCCTGTTTCAAAAGTCACAATATTGACGTTAAGATGCTCCCAGGCCATGCAGTTCTGTCGTTTCCCAGTAGGGGGCAGTGTTGCCTTTAAAGCCTGCACCAGTTGCGGCATTAACCCTGGTGGGTCTGCGTTCCTTCTCTATTTTAAAGACATCTTTTTAAAGTCATATATGAATACTTCTCCCCTAAACTCAGAGTGAGAGTTGAAGAAAAACAGAATTCCTGAAGGATCGTTCTTTCACCCACCATCTTCAGAGGTATCTCTTGATACGTGACGTTCTTGGAGCTTGGTATCAAAGTCCCAAAGTACGAAATGCATCTCGTAGGTCGTCCACCTCATATAGGGGCTGTGGAGAGACAGTGAGTGGCTCTGTAATGTTTCCCGAAGGAAGGAAGTTGAGAGGGAGAGGGCCAGGAAGTAGGAAGCCAGGAAGGAATTCTACCAGGAGGGAGACAGATCTCGAGAAGAGTCAGGAGTGGGCAAAGAAGAGAAGGAAAAGAAATCTTAGCAGAGGGCTCTGAACTGAAACAACAGAAGATTAAACTCAATTGTAGGAGAAATGACAACAAAAAGACGAAGAGAAAATATTTTTATCAGAGGAAAAATAGGAGAGAATGAATCACACACGAAAACGTAGGAAATATAAGAAAAGAAAATATTAGTAGCTCCAGAAAAAGATGACTGTAGAGAGAGTAAGAAAATAAGCCAAGAAGCGCCTTACTTACCAAAAGGATGCGTCGAAGCTGTCTGGACAGACGAACCGAATTTTCATGCAGCCCCTCCCAGGCTTTGAAAGTTTTTTCACGATTTGCCACAAAAGTATTCCAGCAATAAAAATAATCTTTAAAAAAGACAGGGAAAGGGGTAGAAGATGGCTCAGATCTCAAATCAAGAGCAAAGAAAGAACTGTCCCTACCCCGACCCCTTTTAATTCTCATTGCCCCCAAGGCCTCGAGTCCAAGAAAGCCAGTAATTCATTTCCTCCGATTCTAGTGGGTAAGTTTTGGCTCCAAAGGCAAACTAGAACTCAGTTAGGACTCTCCCCCCTGCCTCCCCCCACTGGCTCTTCTCAGTCTGAATCGCAAGCCCCGCTTTTCCGAGCCGGGCGGAAGGGCCCCTCCCCGCGCACCTTTGAAGGTCATGATGGCGATCTGGACCCCCGCGCGGTGCAGCCGCCGCAGCCCCTCGGGCTCCGCCTTGCGGTCCTTGTCGCAGAAGTAGAGGCGCGCCGTGAAGATCCTCAGACTCAGGTTGGGGTACCCTCTCAGAAAGTCGGCCACGTGCCGCGCGCAGTCGTAGCAGGGGCTCCACGAGGTGAACCAGGTGACGCGGTAGCACCGGCCGGGGTCCAGGTCCCAGTCGGAGATGTAGCGGAGGAAGAGCAGTTCCACGTGGCACCCCGCCTGCGGGGAGGGCGCGGGGCTCAGCCGGTGGTTGCTGACGTTCACGCGGTGCCGGAGCTTTAGGGGCTTAATCCCACCCCCTCCCACGGTAACCGGGTCTGGAGTGTCTGCAGTTCCGCGGTGTTGCAGGAAGGCCAAGCAACTACTTGAAAAGAGCACAGGGGTAGGTGGGCTCCATGGCCCTTGCCCTTCGGGCTTTAGCGAGGGAAAAGGCTCGGGGCTTCTGTGGGAGCGGGAGGGTGAAGCGAGTTGAGTGGATGAAGGCCTCACACTGCCTCAGTGAAGATCTTAATGTACGTTGTGAAGTTACTTCTTCTGCCTTTGAGGGGAAGGAAAATGGCTTGGGGGTGTCTGGTGACGTAATGTTGTAGAAATACACCGAACCACGAGGTGGAGGCCAGAGAATTGACAGTTGGCAACCAGATGACTAGATTTAAATTATGACGTGGCGAACAGGGCGGTGTTACAAGACAGGTAATCAGCACTGCTCTGGGCCTAAGAGCCATTAAATCAGGCACACCTTGTTTTATTGCGCTTGGCTTTGTTGGACTTTGCAGATACTGCGTTTGTTTTTGGCGGGGGGGAGCAGTGGGTAGGGGAGGTAATTAGGTTTATTTATTTATTTTAATGGAGATCATGGGGATTGAACCCAGGATTTCATGCATGCTAAGCATGCGCTCTGCCACTGAGCTATACCCTCCCGGACTAGATACCTAGATACGGCATTTTGAAGACCTGTGGCAATCCTGCCTCAAGCAAGTCTATCGGGGCCATTTCTTTCCATAGCACTTTGCTCACTTTGTGTCTCTGTCACATTTTGGTAATTCTTGCAAATTTCAAACTTTCCATTATTGTATCTGATATGGTGATCTTTATTACTACTATGACCTGCTGAAGGCTCAGATGATGGTTAGCAATCTTTAGTAATGAACTTAAACAATTAAGGTATGTACATAGTTTTTTTTAACGATTTAATGCTACTGCATAAAGAATTAAAGTATAGTATATATATTTTATATACACTGGGAAATCAACAGATTCGTGGGCCTTTACTGCAATGTTTGCTTTTCTGCACTGGTCTGGAACCAAACCTGCAATATCTCCGAGGTCCACCAGTAATGTGCTTGCTCTTTGTATGATCCCCATGCCTGTAATAATAACCACAATACTGAGACATAGCAAGTCCGCTTAGTATTGCAGAAAAGAGATTTGAGGAATCTAGTGGCGACACAAAGGAAACAGGCTGAAAGTAGTGCCATCAGCAGGTGGCTTTAAAAGTGCCCTCAGCTCTGCTTTCAACTGCCTGGGAAGCAAATGTTGATACCTGGTTTCGAAGGTGCCCGAAGTCCAGTGAGAAGGAGGTGGCACTGTCTCGCCGCTTCACCACATAGCACAAGTAGGTCTCGTGGCGGCCCCTAGCCCAGCGCACGTTTTTGAAGTGGTAAAGAAATTCCTCTGCTTCATCAGGAGGCTGTGGGCGAGAGGCGGGGAGAAAGTGAAAGGCTGCTTCTGGCTTTCCTTCAGCTTTTAGAAGACTCTGTAATACTTGGGCCAAATCAGAGAAGATGCTCTTGCTTCCTTTGTCGGATGCCTGAGACTCACTGAGCTTGGAATCCATTACAAACCCCTTTTCATGCTTGTATTTAAGACCAGCTGAGAGACAGCAAGAATCCCAAAGCCACATGAGCTCACAGGACAGTCTCCCGGGGCTGCCTTGTAGCTGCTGACAGCTTGGAATTACAAACCTGTTCCCCAGTCCCATAAAGATCTGTTCAGGTTTCCTTTCCAGTCCCTACCTACATGTCCAGCATGTACCTCAAACTCAATGTGCTCAAAACAGTAGTCCTCAGTTAGCCCTCTGTCCTGCCTCCTCTGCTGACTTTCCACCCCAGGTAACCAGGCCAAGAGCTTGCGGATCATCTGGTTCTGTCCCATTCACTCCTCATATTTAATTAATCATCTAAGTGTAATGAGTCAAACTTCCAAATATTTCTGGGTGTGCACCTGCCCTATCCTCTCTGTTCTCTGCTTCAGTCTAAGCCCTAATCTTTCCCTTTATCCATTGTCCCAACCTTTTCATTGGTCTCCCTGCCTCCAGTCCCTTCAAAGTAACATTTCCCACATTGCACCTGAGGGAGCTCACAAAACCCCAGGCATGAGCCTGTCACCCCTGTGCCGAAAAGCGCGTAACTTCTTCCCACGGAATAAGCTCCAGACTCTTCAATGTGGTACTTACTGAGGCCAGCTTCTACGTTTGGACGTCAACCTGCCTTTCTAGCCTCATTTCCTGCTTCTTTTCCTCTTTTCTCCACCCCCTGGCCCGAGTCTCCTTTCCTTCAGCTTTCTCTGTCCAGCCACCTTTCAGCTCTTCTAGGAAGACCTTCCTCACCGCCACTGTCCCAGAATTTCTAGGCAAAAATCGAACACTAACAGCAACGAAAAACCCTCCAGGAGCTCTCTATGTTCTCCCTCTTATCTTTGTCAAAGCAGTCAACCTTTGTTACCAGTTGATTGCTGACATTTCTGTCTTCTCAATTAGACTTTCTGTGTTTTGAGTCAGGAAGTGTCACTCTTTGAGTCATGTGTTTAAGAGCGACCCTTGACTGTTGTCAACCTGAGTACTAACAAAAAGTAGAAAGTTAAAAAAATTAAATATTAAAGAATTTAAAAATTTGGAATACCAGTGTTCAAGGATAATTAGACATACTATCTAATGATAATTACTGTTAATATGCTGGTTTTTCCTTCTAGTTTTCTTATAGGCATAAATTTACATGATTATGCTGATTTCATCTGCAATTTCATATTCTGCTGGTTTTTAATTACAGGACTTCTTAGGGCTTTTTAAAAAATTAAAAATTTAAATTTTTTCTTATTTTTAGCTGGGGGAGGTAATTAGGTTCTTATTTATTTATCTTGAATGGAGGTATGGGGATTGAACCCAGGACCTTGTGCATGGTAGGCACTCACTCTACCATTGAGCTATACCCTCCCCATACTCTGCTGCTTCTTAAACTTGGCAAAATAAATACTTTGCTGTGTTGTTTGCACATAGGGACAGATTGCTTTTCCTCATTGTTTCCTAGCACAGTGTCTTGCAAATCATAAGCTCTAAGTTGAGTTGAACTTGTGAATATACTCTCTGCTACCACAAGTTTCTTTGCTGTTGTGAACATGGATACAGTGTGGTTGAAGCCAAAGCACCCTGGTTTTGGTTCCTAGTCTTTTCCAGAAATGTAGTTATCCAATTTGTGCGCCATCTCATGGCATTGATCAGAAGTGCATGGGGCTTGTAAAAGTAATGACCTAGTCAGTCATTTGAATACGGTTTGCTGGCAAGAGAATTGAAACTTTTTACAACTTTTTTTTTTTACATTGAGGTATAATTTACATACTACACCCATTTAAAATGTAAAGTTCTATGAATATGGGCAGATGTAAACACCCAAAACTGCTACCACAATCAGGATACAGAACATTTTCAGGGCACCCCTCCCCCCGAGTTTCTTCACATACCTCTTCATTCAGTTTTTCCCCTCTCTCCCAGCCGACACTAAACCTGCTTTCTGTAACTAGAAATTACTGTTTATTATTCCTAGAATTTCCTATAAAGCACACGTTATCTCTGCCTTTGTATCTGAATTCTTTCACTAAGCACATTGTGACTCTGACATTCATTCCTGGTGTTGTATGTTTCAGCATAGTTTGTTCTTTTTTTTTTTTTTTAACTGCAAAGCAATGTTCCATTGCATGGATACAGCACATTTCATTTATTTGTTCACATGTTATGGACCTTTGGATTGTTTCCACTCTGGGGCTACTGTGAATAAAGCTTCTTACATTTAAATACCAGTCTATGTATGGACACATGTTGATTATTGATATTTTAATGGAATACAGAAAACATACCTAAATTTTCATGTCAAGGACCCAAATGTCACCCTTATTAAATAAATAAAGCAAGGACAAGCGATTTTAAAGCTTTTGCAGTTTGAATATCTTCCTTACACGCGTGAAACTTACTGGGATCCACTTTAAAACCTCAGGCAGAGAATTAGATGTATCACCAGTGCACACATTATGTATATCAAACCATATAAAAACTAATCAACCACATTATTTTAGAATGAAGAATGCATTTTTGGCAGGGATCTGAAATGGATGCTAACGAAGATTTAATAAAAATTGGCTTTATTTTAAAGGGAGAAGCATTTACGATGGTAACCAGCACAGCGCTACCACTGTTATAATTGCTTTTACCTAATTGACATATACTCACCCTCAGCATATTACATAAACCGAATGCATAGCAAATGCTTCACAGCGGTTGAGCGCATGCTGAGCATACACAAGGTCCTGGATTCAATTCCCAGTACATCCATAAAAAAAATAAACAAATAAACCTAATTACCCCCTCCAAAAAACAAACGAACAAACAAACAAACAAACAAACAAAAAATGCCTAATAAATACTGAAGAAGAAGAAAAAATATTTCTTTGGGGTGCAGTCAGGTTTAAATAGAGTAAACATCATCTCTTAGCAATAAATGCCTTTTACATTTAACCAGCCCTCTTGGGCTGTGTGGACGAGAGGTGGGGGCAGTGGGGAACTGAAGCCTGCACTGCTGGTGGGGCGGGAGGAGGAGGAAGTGTTCTGGGAGTGTAGGAAAGGACGTGATGTAGGGAAGGAGACTGAGATGGCTTGCTACCTCCTTCCCACCGTGAAAATACACTCGTCCTGATCCATCAGAAGTTACCAGGCACAGCAAGGCGAATTGCATGACTCTGCCCTGTTAACTTTCTTGATCCATCGCGTCCCTTTGACTGTAGCTGGGAGCCTGTTCCCAGCACCTTGTTTTCCTCTGCTTTCTCTTTAGAGTTCGAAGGACTCAGCAGAGGCAGTTTTCAGGCCCACAGGTTGACAGCTGCTCAGGACAGCTGTGTTCCCTGAGGCAGAACCCGAGCTACATCCCCGTCAATGCAAACCAGAGACAAACGGATTAAAAATAATCATACAAAGCCATCCTCTCCTGCCCACGTGCCAGCACGTCTCTGCTCTGCTGATGTGATTCTCCTGAATGAAAATCATACATTTCCCTTTTTCTCCTGTTGAATTTCATCTTTCCTCCTCCTTTGACTTTCTCTGAAGGTCAACTCAGATTTACCATGGCTTTACATTTCATTATTTACAAGCATCTCCACTGAGCCGTTTTCCTCTCTCAGTACCTCAGGTTAGTTTTCAAAATCTCACTGTAAACTCAGCTGACATTGGACATTTTGCCCTCAAAATTTTCTGAAAAGCATTTAATCTACCATGAAGATTCTTAGCTATATAGTTTAAATTCTTTGCAAAAGAATTAAATGGAGATGAAATATAAGGATTTGGTGTAAATTTTCATGCATTTGCAGTAATCATAAAAATAGAAATAGAATAAGTTCTGTGATAATAACTTAAGTGTCATAAGCTTCACTTATGGAGACATTGTAGAAATCTTACAGAGTACACGTTCAAGAAGTAAGTTACGTCTGAAAGAATTGAAAGACTAGGCAAATAGCAAAAATGTCATTAACTGCCTGACAACTGATCCTATAATATTCAATAAGTTGCTTGACTGAATATGATAGACACAGTCATAGTGAATTGCAAGCAATTAATTATGAATGTAGACATTTAAAAATAATTTCCTTACTGCATAATTACTCAGTAACGTCTCCCTAAGAAAGCTTTGCTTTAAGGGGTTTTATAATTAAAGGTTTACAGAATTATTACAATTACCACTACTGTTTTTAGTATAGTGTTGCTGTGACCTTTTCATGATTTGAGTCTCTTAACATTTGCTGGGTTAGTATGACTACCATAAACTAGCTCTAAGTGCAAGGATATGTCGACACATGGTGCATAAAATTTCTTTTGAATGTGGCAAGGAGAGAGAAAGGGAGAGTTAGGCGGAGAGCAGGTAATATCTGAACAGAAGATGAGACAGATCCAGAGAAAAAAGTGTGCATCTTGACCCAAGCAGATCTTGTGAGTCAGACAGTGACAGGGGAGAAAGGACCAGCTACTCATCAAAGTACTCCCATTGGCTCTGGGACAGAGGCCAAGGCAACCACCCACAAGCAGCCTGCTTTACCTGTCCATGGTGGAATCCAGGGTGGCTCTCTTGGCTCCTTGACAGTCCTAAGCCAAGGAAAGCTTGCCTCCTCTCTGCTGCTGCAATGACTGACAGTGCATTGGCCCCTCACATTCAAATTTAAACTTAACCCCTTGGGCTCCTCCCCCAAGAGCATCACCACCACCAGGTACCCCAGCAGCCTTCCTCCTGTTTGGGTCCAGTGAAGATGGGCGGGGCTGTCAGAGGCAGAATCCCATAGGTAAAATGGTCTGCTTAATGTATAGGTTCCTTTAGGGCTGTTTCTGGAAAAATTCAGTCTGTGTTCCACTGGTAATAAAGACAAGGAGACAGGAGGGGTAGACCCTTTGTAACTTGGGCTCATGCTAATAGACAATATCTTTAATTTTAAAAGTGTAATAATAATGCTTATTTAAAAACCATCTTGTGTTCTGTAAGCCAAAAGCATCTTTTCCCTCATTTAATTACACAGTTATCTCTGAGCCTCAGTGGAGACCAGCTCCTGCTTTGTGACTGAGCACGCCAGCTCAGTCAGTTGTAGAGGACGTAGAAATTTTGCCTTCCAAACCTGATTTTTTTTCTTTTTTTTCTCTCTCTCTCCCTGACTGTAATCCAAAAATTGCTAGGCTCACACAGGCACCTGTTGTCTATGGCAGCATCACCTAAATAATCTCCTATTATTTTTCAAAAAAAATTTTTGAAGACTAGATGATTACACCAGAAAGTAATTTTTGCCTAAAACCCATCTTTTCCACAAAAGCCGTATGAATTTGAACTCAGAAGCAGCAGCCTCTCCAACATAAAAAAAATTGTTTATTTCATCAGACAGAATCAGCATCTAAATGAGTGCATTGAACTTGGAAAACAGGTTCAGTTTTTCAAACAAGAGGCTTTAAGTTCCTTTCCTCGTGCAAGCCGGTCTATTGAAGGTGCTGCTCCTCTCTCCTACCCGAGTCCGTCTGCATTCTATTTACTTATCCAAAGGAGATTTAATACCTATCAGATGACAGAGACTCTGCTAGGAGCTGGGGATACAAATAGTCAGCAAAGCAGCGAGGGCCCCTGCTGTCTTCCTGCTCAAGGCTCTGAATACTGATTATACATCGACGATCACCAAATCCATAGTCCTCGTCCAGAGCGCTCCCTCGAACTTGGGGCAGGTATGTCCACCTTCCGTTTCTGCACCTCCGTCTGGATGTCTCACGGGCTTTTCAAACATGGCTCACACGGAGCACCTGCTCTCCCCACACCCCGCCACCTTCCCTGTCTCAGGGGCAATGGCATTCTTCCCAGGGCTCAACCTGGCCATCTCCCTGATTGCTCTCTTCCTTTTAAACCCGCGCCCAGTCCGTTAGCAAACCCTACTGACTCTACTTGCAGAATCAATCTGGGCATTGATCACGTTTCACCACCTCACAGTCTGAGCAACCCGGATCATTGCGTTTAGCTTCTCAACTAACTGGTCTTCCTGCTTCCACCTTTCTTCAATTACAGTCTCTTCTCCACACAGCAATCCCTTCCAAACATTTCAGATCACGTCACGTGTGGGCAGAACTCTCCACGGCTCCTCATTCTCTCAGTAAGCCAGCATCCTCACAAGGGCTGGGGGGACCCTCTACCATCCGCCCTGCCTTGCTTTCTCCTTGCTCACACGTCTGCCTTGGAGCTTTGCGCTTGCTGGGTTCCTCTTCCCTGCACATCGTTATGGCTTCATCCCATGTTTATTTCACGTCTTTGCTCACATACTCCCTCATAGTTGAGGCTTTCCCTTGTCCCCGTATCTATAATTTCAACTCTATCCCACCACCCTGGCATTTCCTTTTCTCTTCCCCTAATTTATATTTCTCTTTGGAAGGCTTATTATGAGAAAGCATGAGGCTGAGCTTAACTAAATGACAATATAAAAGAATTAAATGTCAATAAAAGACTAAAATTAAAATTACAGAATCATAGCAGTTGAAGTTGAAGTTGAAGGAATCTTAGCATTCACCTAGCCCTGTGTGTCTCAGAATGGGTTAGGCATATCTGGAGCTATGATTGAATCTGGGTCAAAACGACAGGATCAACAGGTCATGCTATTCTAGAACACAAAGGTTTTCCAAAGATTAGGGCGAAACTGTTTTTACTGAAAATTATTTTGAGTAGAATATTATAATATGCACATTAGTTTTCCCTAGTCCCTAGACTTAAAGCTTTTCCCTGTTGTCCTCTCGCACCCTTATATAAAAAGTAAAATTCCTCACGACATGGAAGATTATAGCAATTTTTATTTTCCCTGTTTGGAGAGTAAGCCCACATCTGGCAGGCCCACAAGTCAGTAGAGCATCACGTACATGTTAAAGACAAAACACAGATTCCAGGGAAGTTTCAGCGTAACATGGGTGGTTTGGGATTATAGCTTCCGATTCTTAGCGTTTCTTATTTTTCTCTTCTTTGTAGCGCAATTTAATGGGAAAAACAAACTGAGTTCCATATTCTCTACAGAGAATTCTTGCGAAGGTATCTCGAACAGTGGTCTCCTACTCTTAGTAACGGGACACATGCCGCCCGCTCAGTGCCGTGAGTTCAGAGGCAGAAGAATCCATCATCTGATGCTTCACGATAGGCCTAGGGCTTGATGAGACCTTGATAAATGGGTAAAATTTTAATAAAGTGTTCGGAGCTGAGAATTTCTGGAGGCTAGTCTTTTTTTTTTTTTTAAATGGAGGTACTGGGGACTGAACCCAGTGCTAAGCATGCACTCTACCACTGAGCTATGGCCACCCACCCGGAGGACAGTCTTTGCAGATGAACTTGTGCCCTAGATCTAGACCTTTTACATATGAGAGGCATGGCGTTGGGAAAGAATTCTTTCCCCATAGCGTCATTCCAAGAACCTCCTTAGCTTTACTGTGTGCGTGCGTGACAGCAGGGTATCTGAAATATGTGAACGTGCTCGATACAATTTCTCATCTTTGCCCCGAGTGTCAGAAACAGCATGAGCAAAGGCAGGACTCTAAAGACGTGCTTCCTAAGTTTCAGCAACAATGAGTGGCTTGTTCTGGTTTGAGTGATGCCTCCTAACCAAATAATGATGGCAGACAAAAATGAGATGCTATTCAGATTTCTCATAAGCTTCTTAAGGAAAGCTTTCTAACAAAATAACTTGCATAATGGCTGCAAAAAAAAGTTGCTAAAGAGGCATGATTTACTCAGCATAAGAACACAACTATTTCTGAGAAAGCTGTATTTCCTGCTCACCTTTCTACTGTTAAAGAAAAGCACATCTCTTAGAGTGACAATAGCATTTTTCATTCCTGGAGATCTGGAGTTAGTAGTCAGAATTAAAAAAACAATTCAGTGGGGTTTTTTTTCCAGTTATTTTAAAAAGTTATTTTCCTTACTGACTACCTTTTCCCCCTCACCAGCTTCTCTTGAAAAGTTGAAAACCACAGGACAGCCTGGTTGGTTTACTTTTAACAGAAACAATGTGGCTTGGAAATTGTGCCCCTGGTAGCTGAGTTAAGGCTTGGACACCTGGACTTCACCACTGTTAACCTTCATCATGGGAAGCATAAGGTGGGGTTTCATTATGGCCAGTGCATGAGGCCAGAAGGCCCCCTGGGATTCTCCAGAATGTACATTCCTGCGTCTCAGAGCCAAGATGCTCAGACAATGACTCCCCAGGCCGCTATTTTTGGACACCAGGTAGATTGTTCAATATGATACCTTGTTGTTTTTGAAAAAGAGCCCAAAGATGTTTCCGCGTGGGTTAAAGTGTGGTCTTTTGGGTGCCTCAACTTCTGCATTTCCCAATTTTTGTTTTTTCTCGGTTGACTGTCAGCCATATTACTGAATTTCTCTGGGGTGTGAAGAAGTTGAGGGACAGATCTTTTACACAAATACAGGAATTACTCAACTTCTGCTGTGCAGCTGCCTGGGACTTAGAGGTTGAGAGAACAAATAAGTATTAATCAAAAGCCTGGGGCTTGTCAAAAGGCTAAAGAAAGAGTTATTTCTGATAGGAAAATTAATTAAAGCTTCATTGATTGTGCACATAAAAGACAAAGTATAGGATAGAGGGAAAAGTTAGGTTTTTGTAATCAAACACAGGAGGACTTAAATTGTCTTCACCACTTCCTAGTGATTGTCTTTGTGTACTGCCTATTGTCACGTTTTGGTCCCTCCATAAATAGAATTTGAATAAATAAAGGTAATAATCGCTAACCTTTATTGTGAACATACTTTCAGTCCGGTTCTGTGCGAAGCATGTCACATATATTATTTCATTTAAGTCTAAGAGCTGGGAACTATTATCTGAATTTTAAGATGTGACCATTGAGGTCCAGAGAGTTGAAACAATTATCTTAAGGCTGTTAAAAATAAAGAAGTCATTCAGCATGTGGCCTAGTAAATGGAAGTTGTTCTATAAAGAACAACTGTATTTATAAAATATAACAGCTGATATATTTGAAAAATATAAATTGTGTTCATCAAAAGGTTATCTGTTCCCATGGTTCAAAGTTTTTCTGGTCAGTAATAAAATGGGAGTGAGTAATTTTGAGGTTCTCATTTCGGTATGAGTAAGTGCATAAAATTGCATATTCTGGTGTTTAATCCCTACAGATTTTGATTTAGTAATTCTGGAGTGCAGCCCAGGACTTTGCCTTTTTGACAAACACCCATTAATTCCAAGCAGGTGGTCAGTTAACATTGCCTCAGAAGGACTCTAAAGTCTCTCCCGAGCTCTAAAATTCTGTGACTTTATATACTTTTGAAAGATTTGTGTGTATGTGTGTGTTTGTTTGCTTATTAAGCAGTTGAAGTGCCAAGGGACATTAGAAATGCTCCAAATAGGATGCAGGTCTTTTTCTCCTCTTGATGGGTATCTGCATGCCAGAGACCAAATTTCAGAGTATTTGTTTGCTCAGTGATATAAGGAATGATGTCATGTAAGGAGTGATGTGATTTCATTGACTGAAATCATGATAAAAAATAGCTCTAAGATGGATTAGGGACAGTTTCTGAGGTAAGAATTGCAGATTTAAAATGTTTCCTGTAGATTTGCCATTCTGCATTCTATTTCTGTCTAAATAGTCACCAACAGTTACTGGGAATCAGGTCACCCTCCTGAGGAAGTCCTGACACCCTCTTGGCAAATTCTTCCTCCTTGATCCTCACCTCTTGGTTGTCTGTGCTGATACAACTTTCTTCTACAATAATTATTTCATCACTACCAATTTGATCATACCGCCCCCTCTTTTTTTCATACCTCTTTGTGATTTAACTAATTCAGTATCTTAGAGATTTGAGAAACAGGTACTTGATATCAACAGCCCCCAATTCCTGAGCGAGTGAGCCTGGTTTCCTCCCTCCTTGGGACCCCCATGTCTTTCCCCCTCTGCCATCCCGCCATCCCATCTACACGTTGACTAAAAGTACCACCAAGATCTCTTTGCTTTGTTACCAGAGGGGGACAGGCAGAATCTATTTCCTCAGCACAATTAGAGACCCATTCAGTTCACTCAGCTCTGGTTAATTTATTCATCACGGCCCTGCCTCACACATCCTGGTTACTTCAGACCTCCAGCCACAGGTTCCTTAAAGGAGATACGCTACAACATAAAAAGAAGTGATGTTGAAGTTCTTTTTTTTGTTGTTGTTGTGTGTGTATATATACATTTATTGAAGTATAGTCAGTTTACAATGTTGTGTTGTGTCAGTTTCTGATGTACCGCACAATGCTTCAGTCATACATGAACAGGCATATATTCATTTTCATATTCTTTTTAACATAAGCTACTACAGGATATTGAATACAGTTCCCTGCGCTCTACAATATGAACTTCCTGTTCATAACTTGTTGTTATTTTATATATATTAGTTTGTATCTGCAAATCTCCCAGTTTATCCCTTCCCAACCCCTCCCCCCCGTAACCATAAGTTTGTTTTCTGTGTCTGTGAGGAAGTTCTTTCTGTTGAGACAATTATCTTGGATATGCTATGCAGCTGATAACTTATGTCCCATACAGATAATCTTAAAAATTCCGGTTATGGCAGAAACAAAAGGCCACATAGTGCATGAAATATCCAGAATAGATAAATTCAGAGGAGCAGAGAGCAGATTGGTGGTTCTCAGGTGCTGGGGTGGAGGTGGGAGGCGGGGCAGGCGGTGGAGAATAGAAATGACTGCTTAGTGAATACGGGGTTTTCTTCTGGGGTGATAAGGTTTTGGAAATACACAGAGGTGGTATTTGGACAACAATGTGTGTACTAAGTGTCACCGAATTGTATACTCGAAAATGGTTAATTTCATGCTATGTGAATTTCACCAAAATAAAACATTTAAAAATCCGGATTAATTCAGAGATGTCTAGGGGCTGAACAGCCAGACTTAGGACAAGAGTGATGACGGGTATTCTCTGTTGGGATGTGTAAGCAGAGGAGAAAGTCCATAGCTAAGAGAAGCAAAGGTGATTTGTTCCCGGGGACAGAGGAGAGACAAGAATGGAAATGAGGCCGGGAAGAAAAGAACTCAGATATAAATGGAAAACTGAGTTGACCAGAACAGGTGCTTATCAGAAGGCTATGGGGCAAGCTGTACAAAATTAAGGATCTCTCTGTCCCTGAACAGGAGGAAACATGATCAATTTGTTGTGCAAATGAAAGCATTATCTTTAATCAAAAATGAAACCAAGGGAAAGAGTATAGTTCAAGTGGTAGAGTGCATGAGGTCCTGGGTTCAATCCCCAGTACCTCCTCTAAGAATAAATGAACCTAATTACCTCCCCACCAGTGGAAAAAAAAAAGGAAAAATAAATAAAACCCCCAAGGAAAACAAGAAATCACATGCCTTTGTAGGAGGTAAAAGGTGTTATTCAAAGCAGAAACAAGCTGAGTACTAAAGCAGTGACTCTAGTCTCACTGAGGGAAGGGACCGTGGCTTACTCACCTTTGTATCCCCAGCACCGGGCCAGGCATAAGAATTGTTGTTGACTGAAGGAAAATGACTGACACTGACATGGGAGCCCACGTGCCAAGGGCTTTTCTAAACACCAACTTCATTTAATCTTAAAATAGTCCCAAGGGTTCAGTATCACTGAGCTCTCCTTCTACAGATGGGGAAACTGAGGCACAGAAAGGTTAAGATCACAGCGGTAGAGTCAGGATTTGCACCCATGTAGTCTAGCTCCAGAATTTGTGCTCTGGAACACTTGCTCTGTTTCCTGAAGAAGTCAGACCGTGATTGAAAAACTGACTAGTCAGCAAACTGATTCTCCATCCTTTGGAGAAGAGGAAAAACATGACCATCTTTGGCGTTTCCCACGTTCTTCCTTCCAACGAGATTGGTGGCTCAGGACCACTGGCTGTCTCCACGGAGTCGCACAGTTCCCTGGTGGTGTGTGGGATGCCTGCAGTCTACAGTCTGGACTCCATCACAGACCTTCTTTGGCAAGCAGGTAAACTGCTTTTGGTTTCTAAACAAGGCATTTCAGAGTCTTCTTTTTGCAACCTAATAAACATTAACTGAAGTTTTAGGACTCTGAGTTCAGGCAGGGTTCTGCCGCGCTAAACTTGATCCAGTTGGCAGGTCTCCTCACTTCTATAAACCTTGTTCCCTGAAAACTGAGAACAATGATCCCTCTGCTGCCCACCTCACAGGTTGCTCTCAGAATGGAATGACGATGTTTGTTAAACGCAAACAGGGGAGTGGTTATGGCTCAGCTCTAGAGCATGTGCTCAGCATGCACAGGGTCCTGGGTTCAATCCCCAGTACCTCCATTAACAAAAAAACACGAACAACAACCAAAAAAACAAAACCAACCAAACAAAATACAAACCTGGCTAAGCCGTAGGTGCCATCATGGGAGTCATCTGCCACAACGAGGACCAAAAAGTTCAGTGCAGAGAGCCCAAGGCCAGGACATCTCCTGAAGGCCTTTTGTCAAGCTGGCCAGACCAACCAACGCCACCTTCAGCCAAGTTGTGCTGAACAGGTTGCTCATGAGTCGCCCCCAACTAGCCCCTCTGTCCCCTGTCCCCTTTCAGGACAACCTGGAAGATGAAGGAAGCTTCCTACCTGGGAAGACAGAACAGCTGAGGTTGTCGGTTTCTCCTGATGATGCAGGGGTCCTGACAACCGTGTCTGGAGCTGGATCCCCAAGGGTGGATCCTTGCTTTCCACCCCCAGGGCTGGAATGGTCCTGCCCTCCAGTCCTGGCACAGGCCGCCAGGCGTCCAGTGTCTGGGCAAGGTCCCGGGGACTCCCGCACAGCCCCGCCAATCCTACCTTCAAGCCCCGTGGGTTCCAGCACCAAGGGCTGACCCATCAGCTGTGGCCACAAAAACAAACCCAGATCCTGCCCTGCTATAAAGATTTTTGCTAAAAAAAAAAAAAATAAAATTTTTATTTATTTATTTACTTATTTATTTTTATTTTTTATTGAGTTGTAGTCAGTTTACAATGTTGTGTCAATTAAAAATTAAAATTTAAATTAGGAAGCCCAAACTGTAGAGAAGCTAGCATCTGCGGCATTGTACACCCTTTGTGGGTTCCCATACCTCCCCACTCACTGGCTAACTGCCAAGGGTCAGCTTGCTTTGTGAGAAGGGAGAGAGTCAGCCTACTCAGAAGCAGGGAGCAGACAATTGACTTACCCAGGAAAAAAGTCCTATAGTCTTTGTTGTTGTTGCTTTGTTTGGTATCCTTAATTTTTTTTTTAAACTGAAATACAGTCGATTTATGATGTCTTATAGTGAAAAAGTCCCACAGGCTTGTTGAATAGTCTTACAGGTGCAAAACCTTTGAGTACATGTTAATTCTCAGAATCACTTGTAAGGCAGATGTATTGCCACCAATTTACAGTTGACACGTTATTCCCTTAGGATCACACGACTAGTGGGTGCTATGTCAGGACCGCTCTGAAACTAATACCAGTCCATTCATATGAAAACGAACAGGATGCTATAAATGCGTATTTTATTATACCTACAACCGTGATTTGGGGTCTACCCTATGCATAGATGGTACAGTATTTTTTCAGTTTCTACATGGCAAGAGTAATTATTCCTGCTGTATGTCATTAGAACATACTATCATTCTTATGAATTAAATCCATGATTTAATTTATGAATTATTATACTTCAATTATCGGTTATTACATGATGTCGGGTCTTTCCTAGTTACTCTGAGATTGAGATAATGGTGACAGAAAAGAGCACAGTTGTTTAATTGTCAAGTTATCACTTTCCGACACACAAACTGGTTTCTCTTAATAACCAATTAAGAAGCTGTCATTCATGATTTTATGTGGACATTTTAAAGTAATTTTTGTTTTCCACACATTGATTTTGATGTTAATGGCACACATTTTCATAGGCTTTTTTGTATTAATATTACTTGATTTTTCTCCCCCCTCCACCTAAATCTCATCCATTTTCAAGATTGGATGGATGTATGGATGTGATTTTATACAACAGGAAACAATGTTTTTCTATGCAGTTCTCATTACCCTTCATTATAACCCCTCTTGTTTGTCCATTTGGAAAACATAATCATGCAGCTGACACCTCAATGCCCCTCAATCCACTAAGTGTAATTCAGATTTTTTTTCCATGAAAATATTTCCTTATACTTGCTCAAAGCCCATCTATTACTTTTTAAAAGGGGATGAGGGGAGGAGGTGAATCTCACACACATTTATGAGCTCATCCTGAATTCAATCCCCATGGATTGTTATGATAACATACTCCGAAAAGCTACACAGAAGATTTATGGCTAGGTAAACACACAGAAGAAAGAAAAAGGGAGAGGAAAGAGAAGAAGACCAGAGACAGAGAAAAGAACTGCAGAACCACTGGGTCTGGAAAATACTAGAATCTTACTGAAAGTGATTGGACAAATTGAAAGAGAAAAAAAAAAGCCCCGTTATCAGCTATTTTTAAAACCATTGAGGGTTTGAGGTGAAGTGAAGCTTGTTTTGTCAACAGGAAGCTATGGGCCCTGCACCTCTATTTATATAAACAACATTTGCTTTTCCATCTTTGGTTCTGCCCAGAAGTTGTCTGACCGCTGCTTCTGGCTCTGGTTGACTGGTTTTTAGAAAAAAAAAAAAAAAAAAGAAAGAAAGAAAGAGAAAAAAAACAACACTGTGGCCATCTGTTCCTCTCTGCACCGCAGAGAAACTCAAGTCACTTTCCCTGGTGTTTCGTTAGTGAAAATGCTCAAGTGTACAAAGATTTCAATTTTTATTGGAGAGCTGTATTTTTAGCCAAATCTTTGCTTCCCTGAGCTGACTAAACTAAGGACTGTCCTGTCTCCCTGCCCGTCTACCCTGTAAGGTTCCAGGTATCTCAGGTCCTCTTCAGCACATTTTGCAAATTCCCTTCACCCATACAGAGCTGTGAATTCCCATTTTCCAGCCTCCGGGTTCGCTTGCCCTGAAGTCAACCTGCCATCACTCTGCCGTCTCCTTGTGCCCCTGTCTGGTACTCGTCCAACTTCTTTTCTGTTTCTTCTCAGATTTCTTTTTTTCACTGTTACAGTTGCTTCGGTACAGAAGGAAGGGGGACCTGAGAGCTTGCAAGTTGCTTGTGCCTTCTGACCAGGTGTAAAGTAATTGGGGAAACATCAACTTTCACCACAAGCACCCTGAAGCAGAGGAGGGAGGAGCTTGCGGCTGGCAGCATATACGGCTTGATGTCATCAAAAGGATGGGTCAGAAGTGGGGAGACAGCTGGGGTTAGCACCATCTGAGTCAAACGAGTACTTAGAGAAAGTGCACAGAGCTCTGTTGAGACAGGAGAGTGCACCCTTGAATTTTCAGAACTTGCATTCAAGGAGGAAGGAGAATTGCATGAAATATGGAAAAAGTTAGGCTCAGAGCAGGATCAACTCAGTTTGGGAAGAGGAAATAAGGGTAAAACTTACGGGTAGGCAGGTAAGGCTGCAGTTTCTTCAGGGTACCAGGAAGGCATTTAATCTCAAACTGCCTAATGACACTTTTACCAGATTTTTTTTACATTCCAACATTACAGATCCATTTAGTTCAAATAATTCTTCTTCATCAAAATATAAGAAGGTTGTCATTTGTGTTCAGCAGGAAAAAAAATACTATTAATACCCCATTAGTGAGAAGTTTTCAAATCTTTTTTTGGGAGGAACAAGGAGAGAAAATGAGAACACTGTGGGTCAGAAATGGACCAAGAGTAAAAAGGAGCAAAAAGGAGAATGGGATTCTGTAAATGAGGAAGAGAGGACAGAGGGAAGGAACCAGGACCAAAACCAACCCCTGGAAACTGACCTGGCACTGGTCTCAGGAAAGTTCTGAGGGAAAGTAAGACTTTGTAAGGATGAGGAAAGAAAGGATGGAAAGTGAATTAGAAGTGTTGATTTGCAGATCGGGAAGCGTGAAAAAGGCAGAGGATCTCAGAACAGTGAGAAACAGCCAAGCACAGGAATGTGATCACACAAAAGAGCAGTGAGGGTAAAGCAGGAGACAGTTGGGCCTGAAGTTGGCAGAAAAGAGAAGGCATTTTCCACTGAACCACGGAGGGGCCCCATCTGGAGGAGAGTAAACCAAACTGGAATGTTGGAGAAAAACTGGTCAAGTTGCAGAGGGAAGGAGGCCCAGAGAAACGTGAGCGATGTTGGCCCTCAGCTTTCCAAGTGGGATAAAAGCATAAGTTCAGGTTTCTCTAAACATAGAAAAAGAAATAACCAGACGAAAGGCCGCTCTCTTATTTATTTATTTTTTAAATCGAAGTATAGTCAGTTACAATGTGTCAATCTCTGGTGTACAGCACAGCCACTCTGTTCCGAGAAGGAAATTGGAAAAAATAATTATTTAAAACGTTTCATTTGCAGTACAATCTTGGGATTGGGTTGCTTTCTGGTGCGAAAGACTCCTCTTGTTCAATAAGCCATAGGAGGGTCAAGTTCCTGAAGAGACCCTTAAAGAACTCTGCGCCTACAAGTTGTCTCTACGGTGGCTCCAAAATAGCCATTGAACGTGTCTGTCTGTTACAAGCACACTTGCTTCCAGAGATTAGGGCAGGGATTACATGCTCTGGGTCTTTTTCTAGCATTTCTCTTTAGTGAGTTGTTCAAATCCTATTAAACTAAGTTGGCTTCTTAACATCAAGAATCTGGTCCTCATTTAGATGGTTTTTCAGCAATCTGGAAGGAATCCAACCCTTACCAAGTGGAATTCTGTCACACATAACTTGTTGTCTCAAAGTGCCCTAGTTTCTATTTAAATTCCATTGGCTTTTTTAGAAAGTTAGTGGGCTATTCAGATGAAAGCATCCGTAATATATAATTTGCCATTTATGGTGGCATTTTGTCCTGTTGCGTTGTGGACTGCTGCCCTAATACAGGGTATTTCCTTCCTTATAAGGCAGACGTGGTTGCTGTGAATTAGATTGCATCCAGGCTTCAAGAAATATGAATAATGCATTTGAAACTCAACTCATAGAATTAAAAGAAGCCTTAGAACTAATGTACATTTACCTGTCTCATGTTAACGATGGGGAAATGAAGGAACATGGCTTATCTGGGGCTTCCTGGTTGCTGCCAGAGCCAGGACAAGGATGCAAGTTGTCTGAATATTGTGTTTCTGTTACTCTTTCCTGTAAACCATTAGGTAAACTTTCAACCTGCCTATTAATATTCAGGTCTGAATGCCCTTAGGCCCCAAATCAGGCTATTCCAGAATCCATTTCCATTTGCTCAATAATCTACAGATTTTGGTAAGTGGTGAGGATGAAAGAAGTAGCAACAACTCAGGGCAACTCAGAGCAATGGTACAGTTTCACATTAAACTGTCTCATGAGCTGTGGACATGGGCTAACCCCAATTCCACCGGAAATGAGTAAGTAAATGAGACTTTCTAGTCCTACTTGGCAACTGCACGGCTGCATGAAAAATGGAATAATTTTATACTTGGCCCACGCCTCTCTCTCTAGCCTCAGCCTCTGAGCTTAGCACAAGACAACATTTTTGGAAAAAAAAAAGACATTTTTGGTCTTTATATTATATATTGCTAGTTGGATTGTGTAACTCTTGGCTCTGTAGAATTTTTTAGGATTACAAAAATCATCATAACCTTCTCATAAAGAAGCCCTGCCAGGCAGATGTTAGGACAATCCAGCGAAGTAGTTAATAAGAGTAAAGTGGACTAGGGAGGTCAAGGGGGAGTTAACCTAGGAAAGTCTTGAATGGAAGATAAATGAAGTTCTGTGGTTGGCTGAGATGGACAGTGATGGCTTCTTCAACCCTAAGATCTATCGCAGACAGATTCAGTAGTTAATATCACTAACCTAAAGTTTATTTTCCCTTGAAACTGTATGCAGCATGTTTGTGTAAAAGCCACATGGGAATCATTTATCTACTATGTCTATGATACTGGGAAGCAGCAAAACCATGCAATAATAGAGGCTGTGTTTTCAGTACTGAAAAGTGAGATAAATGGGTGAAAAATCAAGAAGTGGGGGCAGAAGCTAAACATCGCGAAGGCGCTGGTTTAAGAAATACTCATGTCCGTGGGTTGGCTGACAGAGGTTGAATGAGGAGTTCCCTCTTACAGCACTCTCTCCCTCCCACCCACACGTTCTTTCTTTCCTCTTCCTTGGTGATCACAGACCGCTGGGTCTCTGAAAATTCACATTTTCACAAGGAGGAAGGCGGAAGTAGCTGGAGCGCCGGAGTCGCCTTGGGGGCAGACCCGCCATCTGCCGGCACAGCTCATCTGGAAGAGAAGCAGAGCGAGCATGAGGGGATGAGAATGCAGGAGACCGCAAGGGCCCGTGCTCCAGGGGGAGAGGAGAGGGCGGGGTGATGTGCTGAAAAGGCTGGAGAGAAAGGGATCTAGGTTGGAAGCCCAGCTCTGCCCCTTCTAGAATGGAACATAAATGAAGTTCTGTGGTTAGCTAAGAGGGGCGGTGATGGTTTCTCCTACCCTAAGATCTACTGCAGACAGATTCAGTAGTTAATATTACTAACCTAAAGTTTTGTGTTGAAATTGTGTATAGAATGTTTGTGTAGAAGCCGCATGGTAATCTACTACGTACTAGAAAGTTTCTCAGCTTTTCTGGACCTCACTATCCCTCCCTGTAAAACAAGCGCTAAAGCACGCGTCTCAACACTGTGGTCGTCAAAGCGTTAAAGTGAAAGAGTGCATTCAAAGTCCCTGGCGCAAGTGATCAGTACAGTTTAGATTCTTTTATGTAACTAGCTCCCAGTTCTTTTAATTGTGGACTTGTTAAATAGCAATTAAAAAAAGAGAGAGAGGTCCAGTCATTCAGTATGTGTTTAAGTGTTTACTATGTGCAAGGGGCTAACTTTAGCAAGTCCCCTGAGATGCTTGAAAGTGCCTGGAGTCCCAGAGACTCATCCTCAGTGTCAAGGTGCTTCCCTTGCAGGTGGCTTGCACGAAGCCGGAGGTGGGCAAGCAGCAGGTTTCCTTCTGCGAAGTCAGCTACAGCTCTTACTCAGGCGCTCAGCACGAGGCCGGCTGATGAGTCAGAAGTGGCCGAGTCTGCGGTGTGTTCGCCCACCACAGCCATCGTTCGGGGCTGGCCAGGGCAAGGCGAGAAATAGCTTTTTCTCACCATGCATGCTCTATAACCACACACTTTGGACCCTTGTCATTGTTTTTTTTTTTTTTTTTTTTTTAGTGAAATCTTTCTGCCTTCTTCTACCTGTGAAATGTCACAGTAAGCCATGTAAATGGGTCTTGGGAGGGGCGGACTGTTTATAATTTAGTCAGTGTCTAGGCGTCCAGTCCACTTTTTATTGGTTTGTTTGTAAGCCCTATCCAAACGTTGCTGTCTCCAGATTAGTGGCTTCTTTTTAATTTTTAGAGTTAAGAATATGGATGGAAACCAGTAGAGTCTATTCTTCGTAATGGCTGACTTGGCCTTTTCATCTAGAACCTTGGTGAATGAACTTCAGAACGCTCTGAGAGAGGCTGGGGGTTACAAGTCCGGCTGCAAAGAGATCTCGGGGTTCTTTTCTCAGGGTTATGCATTTATTAAGCATAATAGTGCTTTCCTTAGATTGTTTATTGGGGGTCACCTGGCGAGCAGGTGCTGATGGAAGTTAGGGAGTAACCTAAATCCCCCCAAAGCCAGACTTTGGGTTTGTGCCCCTAGTTACCTCTCTCGCTACCGACCTCCCCACTGAAAAGCCGGACGGCACCTTACCTTTCATAACTTCGTGTTCTTTGCACACAAGACGGGAGCAGACCTCATTGTTGATGATGTACATACGCCGTAAACTGTCAGTCACAACGTCACGGTGCAGGAAGGAGACAGAAAAAACAGTGAGAGGAAGAAGCAGCCTGGGTTGGCGATGCCTCTTCAACTCCCGTGTTCCCTGCCCTTCCCTATCTGTTCTCCCCGTGTCTGGATTTCCTTACGCGTTTCAGACTTCTTGCCTGCTCACTCTTCTCAAGTGACACTGCACACTCTACCCAGAGTCAGACTTAATACTCCTCCCCACCATTTTCCACCTTCACTCTTGGATCTTTTGCTCCAGCCTCTTTATATGAGGTGCTAAACTTGATAAACCCAGAGTGTCCCTCATAGCTACGCCTCCTCCAGCCCTCACCTTCACTGGCCTCTAGCATCTAGATTTGTTAGTGAAACTGTTCTTGGGGGGAGGGCAGAGCTCAGTGGTAGAACACATGCTTAGTGTACACGAGGTTCAATCCCCAGTATCTCCATTTGGGCAAAATAAATAAAGAAACCTAATCTCTCCACCCCCCCAAACGACAGACAAAAACTGTTCTCTGTGTACCCCAATCAGACTCCAGGTTCTAGCTGGCACCTTCAGGAATAACTAAGAGGGCTATGCTAAAAATGTCTGCCCCTCTAAAGACAGAAATTCCATGGTGGGTGCCCACTAAGTAGTTACTGGCATGAAAACACTATCACGGGCGATGCTCTGGGTGTTCTGGGACCCTTTACCTCGTGAAGCATAACTGATGGATGCATTGCTTGACCGGCCGATGCACAGAGTAGAGTCTCGTGCAGGCAAATTTCTCATCGCGGCACTCTGAAGAAGCCCAACGTGAAAAGCAGGGAGAAGTGTAACAAACAGGCATGAACGCAGGGTTAAAGTGATGGAGGGGGCGAGATGTGGGAAAATCCAGAAAGTAGTCTCCGCAGAGGGTTAGTGTGAGTGGGGGCACGTGCTTCCTGCTCAGCAAAGCGCGGCCATGATAGAAACTGGCCACAGTGAAATTTAGGTACTTCCCTACCTGGAAGCAAAGTACATGAAATACTCCCTGAGGAAAAAGAGTCCTTCTAGGGTTATACCAGTGGGCACATAAAAGATCAGAATGAGATGCCGACAGTCCCATTCTGAAGAACGTGAATTCCAAGGTGGGCCAACAGTTCTCAACGCCAGCTGCACATCAGAATTACCAGTACATTAGAGAAAGCATGACGTGTGTAGTAACACGGAGTCCCTGCGGTCACTTCCTTGCCCACTAACCAGCCGATGAAGTCCAAAGGTAGTTTAGGGAGACGACTGTTCTGGGACCCTGCAACAGTGGTCCCATCTTTCCCCCATGATTTGTAGAACAGGGGCTCAAAACAGTGGGATGAGGTGGGGGGATAATGAAGAGCACTACAAATAGTCTTTGATAAAGAGCTGGAAATAAAATAGAAGAAGTACCTAGTATCCTCTGAAGAACAAGGAGGTAAGGAATCCACAGGAAGAAAAAAAAAGCGTAAGAAAAAGATAGGCAAAAAACCAGTCATACCTGTGGTGGCGTTTTTATCGCTGGGTGAGGCTGGAAGGCAGAAATTTGATTCAGTTATTACTAGTTCTGGAAGTCACTTCCCCTTAACTGTCATGTTGCCATACTCCTAGAGTTCATAGATGAGTTAGTAACTCTTTTCAGCAACGTCTAAAAGAAAACCCATAATGGGGTGTTTTGATCCACAAAATTAAAGCGATTTAGAAGTTAGGATGGGGAATACAGTTCTGTCTTTCTCCTTTCTCTGCTAGAGAGTTAAGACATTCATTGTATGGAGAGTAACTTTGTGTTTTTGTCAAGAAGCAAATTTGGGAGGGACACAAGGCAAAGAGCCAGCGCTTCATCCCAGAGCGAAGGAGAGAACAGACCATTATCCTGCTGCTGAAGCTCTTCCTCCTCGTGAAAGGAAATCTCTTCTGTAAATTACATACACCATCATGGGTTCTTTGATAAAAGTTACTTGGTAAAGGGTAGCGAGGGGCATAGTCATAGCTAACCCTAACCTAGGGGCAAGTTAAATACCAGCCGAGTTTGTAGGATGGAGAATAAAATTCAGGGAGTAAGATGAGTCTTGAGGAAATAGACTAACCGTGGGAGTTACCTGTATAAATGTCTGTGGGAGAGTTGCTGATAGGATACTGTAGGAGGAATGCTATGTGATCGCATCTACCCTATGGCTGCAACTGCAGGCTTATATGCTGAGAATTCTACCTAGCCCAGAGCTTTCTTCTAATAAGCTTCAGAGCTACAAATCTAACTGCCACTTTGTGGAAGAGTTCGTGGATCCTTCAGTGTCTCAAACAGCCTTATCTTTCCCTTCACCAGTTCAAGTTGTTCTTCAGTGAGTGGTGCCACCATCCACCTTTGAGATACCATCTACCTAATAGAAAACTGGACATCATCTCAGTGGTCCCCTCTCCCTTGCAGCTCATTTAATTCTCTGCCTTACCTCTCACGTAGTTCAGGCCGTCATCCTTTACTGGGGCCACAGCAACAGCCTTCAGCTGGTTTTCCACGTCAAGAATCTGCTTAGAACTATTCTGAGTGGTTTTCATTTCCACCCTAAGCCTTTGCTCATATTGTTTTCTTTACCTCAAAGCTCTTCCCTCTTCTATTCATTTGTACTTGTCTTTCAAGACTGAACCCAGTCAGTGTGCCCCCCAGAAAAGCCTTTCCTATCTCTCAACACTGAATATTCAGTTATTGAATATTGGCTTACCCTGAAGACAGCATTTTTGGAAACTAAATAGTTATCCGTTCATTTGTCTATCTTGTTTATTAGACAAAACATACCTAGAGGAAGACGGCTTTTGTTCACCTTTACATCCCTGCCACCTAGAAGAGGCTTTCAGTCACTATTTGTTTCGATCTGGTTGCTGTGTCCTTTTCTCATGTCCTACCACTTATTCCCTGTAGTTCTTGCTTTATTCGTTCGGAAAACTCAGCTTCCCCAGTGTGCCAAGTTCTCTTTTGCATTTGCAACTTTGAACGTGCTTCTCCCTCTGGCTGGAATGCCCACGCCCTCCTCCACTGCCTGGCTTATTACAGAGCTTCTTTCAAGATTCAGTTCAACCGTTACTCCTTCTAGAGTGTTTCCCTTTATCTTCACCAAACATTTGTTCGTATATTTGTCTGGCCTTTTGCCCATCCAGTCTAGGAAACTTGAGAGGAAAATCAGATCTTGGTATTATGTATATCAAACCCCTAGTATGGTTTTGCTTGTCAGTGGATCAAAAATGTTATTCATTTAAATTGAACTGCTGGACGAATGTGCTATGTATAATGTGGTCCTATTAAGATCCTTCACCAGATATACTGCCTTCCATCGTGGGCTCTGGGGAAAGCCCAGCAGGGCCCCGGTGGCCCTGGGATCCCAGATCTGAACTCACCCAGGTCATCTGTGGAAGGCTCGATATCGGCCAGAACTGAAAAGGCACAAAACAGTGGTGTGAGGAGGGCTTTGAATTGGCAGAGGGGGAAGGCAGAGCAGAAGAGGGGAGGATGGCGATACCAGGGCAAGGTCGAGATTATGGCTGGGTTTGGGTGTTACGTCCAAGGGAACAGAGTTAATTGAAATAATTGAATAATTGCGAATATTTGGCCTGTTGACATTATACTAGTTTTTGTTTATCCATGCCTTTTTTTTTAAAGCTGTTTATCTACTTTGCTTCCTCTTGTTTTGAGGAGGTTTCTTTCCTTTTATCCCACTGCCACTGAACAACACGCCCACAATCCCTCTATTCCTTTCCCAGCAATAAAAATGAGATTAAGTCAAGAGCTGGAATAAATGTGAATATTAGCAAACATCATGCCATTTCTAGGAACGAGAGTGAAACGTACCTGTTTCATCTGTCGCGGGATCATTCACCAGATCTGCAAAGATACAACACAGAGAATGATAAGTACAAGCAGGCAAAGTAGCAAAGGGAAGTGGGAGGAAGGCAGGATGGTCTAAAAGGAGGCAAGACTGAAGTGAAAGAATGTGGACAATTGGGCAAATACGAGGGACTACCCCAGAAGGAAAGGGAAGAGATAAAAAGATTGGGCATGTTATAGCATTGGTGGCATGTAAGATGGACAGCGGGGCTCTGAAGACTAGAAGTCTTCGTTTTACTTTGTACCGATATCATCCTCAGTTCTTCCACCCCCAGTATGAAAGCAAAGAAATGGACAAAAGAGTAGCTTACTAGGATCTTCTGTGAATGCTTCTGGAGTCACTGAAGTTACATCATCTGCAGAAAGACAGTCAGAAAACACTTTCTGAGCATTTTCTGTCCCCCTACCACCCCGCACCCCTGCTAAGTGAAACTGTCTAGCACAGCAGAGGGCACGGAGTGAGAGCCCACAGGTGCTTTTCTTCGTCTGCTTCCCAGCTCAAGTCCTTCCCCTTGTGTCTGTCCCAGACACATGTCACACTTTACTGCTTCCATGAATAGACCCATACAGTCCTAGCCTTTGTCCCCACCAGTGTCCCTTTTCCTCTGTCCCCCTTGTTTAGGGGAATGAATGAACTACATGCCCATCAGACAGTCCTCCACAGGCATCCTCTTTCTCAGTGCGACTTTGGTTAAGCATTGGACTGCAAGAATAACTTCTTTATCCTAACGGATAATGACACATACAGCTAATTTGGGATGACTGTGTGCTTGCTTTTATAGATAATAAAACTGAACACCAGGAGAGTAACTTACCCAAGGTCAGAGAGCTTGTTAATAATCACAATGGCTTGATGACCTCTTTACAAATACTTATTTAAAATAAAAATTGTCTTTCTCAGCCACACTGTGATTTTGATATTTATAATTTTGATATAATGGGATGATATCTGTTTGATAAGCTTATACACAAAAGAGTTTTCACGAAAGGTAATGATGATAAGGTTTTTTTTTTTTTTGGCTTTTTTTGGTGGGTATGTAATTAGGTTTATTTACTTAGTTAGTTTTAGAGGAGGCACTGGGGATTGAACCCAGGACCTCATGCATGCTGAGCATGCACTCTACCACGAACTGTTACCCTTCCCCCAACCAGTGTCTACTTAAAAAGCAAAATGACAGTGCAGTTTTAAGACCTAAATGTCGAACAAATATCCCATCTGTAATTAAGCTTTATTGTAAACGGCTAATGGTCATAATCTATTTTACCCGCTAGGGGTCAGCAAATTCACGGCTTGCTTTTACTTCGGTGTATAAATGCTAGGTTTAAAATCCTGTGGGACCTGAATTTTTATAAAGCAGGTCAGAGTTATTGATCATTGTACTAGAGGCAAAACACACATAAAACATTCTGAAGGACTTATTGCTTACTACCTCCTTTACAAAAAATTCCAGAGAGAGAGTCATCGAATCTGGCAAAAGAGCCTTTTTATCTTTCACACTCAGGTATAAGCTTTCTTCTTTCACAGCACATTTTGGTGGGGTCGAGGTGGGTAGGTAATTCGGT